GAGCGAAGCAGGAAAGATGGAAAGAAAGAATCTGAGTTCGAATGGTTTTGGGTATCTTCAATTCTAGGTAGTTTGATAGTTAAGGAAGAAGACTTGGAAGGGATCAGGTCAAGATCGTTGGACAACGAGGTGTTTATATACTGCCTTGGGAAGTATCAAAAGGATAAGTAGGTACTAAGGTAATGGAGGTGTCTAATTACCCCGCAAGATGAATGGCTTGACGGCCTGCCTGCCTGCCTGCCTACGTCTGTCTATTCGGGTTGTAGGACATGGGAAGGTTACCTTAGACAAGAGCGGTTGTAGATTGACGCTTGCAGTGGCGTATCGCTTGTAGAGATACAGCCAATGCTACGCAGGGAGGCAGCTGGACGTGGCTTTGATCAAGACCATCACGGCCATTGACGTCAGCGTGATGGTCACAATACAAAGGGTCCTTGGTGAGTGGTCGAGAAATACTTCAGGAGGTTGCCGCTATCAGAAAGGTAGCCTGGGTAGCTCGACCGCGATGACGAGTGAGTGTATGATCAGCCAGCCTCTAGCAATGGTCTGAGGCCCTTGATTGGAAACAAAAGCCAAAGGTGGTGGTAGTCGTAACACTATATGGCTAACATACAAGCTAGACAAAGGTACCGTGACCATGTTGCTCATCACCTCAGGAAGCTATTTGCTGGGAGGGAGCTTTTTAGCAGACACGAACCTATTCGAGGCGTGGTGGTGGTCCTTGAGAGATGGCAATTGGATCAATGTCGCGAGACACCAACCGTTGGTAGCTCAGCTCGGCAAAGAGCTGACAGATGCAACACAACTTATGCAGCCACGGTGGCAAATCGTCAAGCATTGAGGACGTTAGTACATAGGTAGGTAGGTCTGTATGTACATACATTATTAGATAGGTAGGTATTATGTATGTACATATGTGATGACAACAAGAGTCAAAGATGTTGCTGGCGAAGATACATATACACATATGCACGACGCAGAAGCGGACGCTGAGCCAATGCCGTTGGCAAGGGTTATCAACAATTGGACAAGGGTGTATCGAGACATATCAAACGAACCTTTGGTACGGATAGTTAGTCTACTCCGCAGACAGACACGCAGACAGACAGACAGACAGACAGACAGACAGATCAGTTAGTAGGCTGGCTGCTTGGCATGGAGATCTAACAACGATAAGAATCGGATAGCTCGCCTAAGCCAGGAGGCCCTAGACTAGCTTTACCCCGGAATGAGAGCTGCTAGAGGAGAGCCTGGAGAGGTGCTAGAGGTGTTACTAAGTAAGGATGGGGTATAGTAGTTTGTCGTTAGTTTACTTGATCGGCAAGCTCATGATCCGATGTAAACAGGCTAGACAGGCTAGATCCAGGTCACACCGAAGGAGCTCAACCTAGAATGGGTGAAGCAGAGAATACGTAATGACTGACATGCATTGAAGCAATGGGAGAGAGGGCCTGTCAGCCTGTGGCACGTATTTGGAGTTGGTAGAATGCCTACCATACTCGTAGAATGGCCCTGTTGATTTCGACTGTGGACGGTAACTCTAGTAGGTAAATTCATACCTAGACATGTGACTACGGGCATACAACGTCATCATCAACTGAGATGCGATGTGGGGTTTAATTATCCACTGTACAACCAACCTATGGGTGGGTTGCACGACGATAAGGGACTGCGAGGAAACCGCCGACAATCGATCCATACATCCATCCAATGCTTGGTCTCTGAGGCTGGGCTCCTAGGAATTGGCTCTATCGTTTCGTCGTGTTCACTTACCTACCTACTGAGCGTCCTTCTATAACTGATTACGACACACAACCTACATTTCTCATGTCTACTTGTAGGCATAGGCACCAGCAGACACATCCGCCTGGTCAACTCGGTACATCCTCTCCTGCGATTCGCCCGCGCTCAGACATGCCACGCACTCGTCAGAATGTCTGAGTATGGTGTTCCAGACGCGCTCAGCCCAGGCCCTGAGGTAGGCGGCGACCTTCCAGCTACCGACGACGCCAACGGCGATGCACCTGTTTTCCCCTCGCTTCAGAACAATGGCGCGGCAAGTCCCTTGTCTTCAGAAGCCGCCGGCGGCCCCACGATCGGTGAAGACGATAATGACGACGAGCCCGCTGTAGCGAAGCCCTTTATGCGAACAACGAGCCCCGACCCGTCCACGCGCGCGTTCCCTGACAGCTTTGATGACCGTGTCCCTGATCGCCTGGTTTACAAGATGCACAAGTTCAGTCTCTACGAGACGGCCAGTCGCTATTACATCGTCGGTGTCGACGTCAGTGAAAAGCGCTATCGCATCCTCAAGATCGACCGCACCACCGAGGGTGCTGAGCTCAACGTGACAGATGACAAGATTGTTTATAGTTTGAAGGAGATGAACCAACTGCTCGACACAATAGATGACGGGAATCGGGGTACCGGTGGCATCAAGCTTCGCTGCACCACATGGGGCCTCCTTGGCTTTATCAAGTTCACCGGCCCCTACTACATGCTTCTCATCACAAAGAAGAGCACTGTCGCTATGGTCGGGGGCCACTACATATACCAGATCGAGGGCACTGAGCTTGTTTCCCTGACTCCCGCCAAGTTCAAGCCAGATGCACGCAACACCGAGGAGCAACGATTCCTCGGCATCTTAAACAACCTCGACTTGACTCGTTCGTTCTATTACAGCTATTCTTACGACGTTACACGTACCTTGCAGCATAACGTCATCCGGGAGCGCGATGCTCTTGCCAAGGGAATGCTGCCGCCAGACGACGATGATTTTAACTCCATGTTTGTCTGGAACGACTATCTACTACAGCCTGCCGTCACTGCTCTTCGGGACCCCTATGACTGGTGTCGTCCAATTATACATGGATACATTGATCAAGCGGGTGAGTTTGGCAACTGGAACTGCAGCTCAGCTCCTACGTCCATGCTCCGTACTGACCTTCAACAGCTCTATCAATTTATGGCCGTACTGCGCACATCACTGTCATCGCAAGGCGCTCGCGCTACTTTGCCGGTGCTCGGTTCTTGAAACGCGGAGCCAACGATCTTGTAAGTGGCTGTTGCTTTCTCCCCTCTGTGCTCGCGCGCTGACTCTTCCAGGGTTATGTTGCCAACGATGTCGAGACGGAACAAATCGTAGCCGAGTCACTGACCACGTCGTTTCACGCACCTGGTCCTCAACTATACTGTAGCCCACAGTACACCTCTTATGTTCAGCATAGGGGGAGCATCCCGCTTTACTGGACACAGGACAGCACCGGCGTCACACCCAAACCACCGATTGAGCTTAATTTGGTTGATCCGTTCTATGGCGCCGCCGCTCTGCACTTCGATAACCTGTTCGAGCGCTACGGTGCGCCGATCTATGTTGTTAACCTGATCAAGTCCAAGGAGCGAACACCTCGTGAATCAAAGCTGCTGGAGGAATACACTAATGCCATCAACTATCTCAATCAATTCCTGCCTGAGGAGAAGAAGATCATCCACAAAGCGTGGGACATGAGTCGCGCATCGAAAGTGCGTGGTGGGGACGTTATTGGCAACCTCGAGCTTATCGCAGAGTCGGTCCTCGCTACGACAGGCTTCTTCCGAAACGGAGACGGTCTCACAAGCCCCATGACAGCACAGAATGGAGTCGCCAGAACAAATTGCATCGACTGCTTGGACCGTACCAATGCTGCGCAGTTTGTCATAGGCAAGCGAGCCTTGGGTCACCAGCTACATGCCCTTGGCATTCTTGAGGATACGTCGGTGGACTACGACACGGACGCTGTCAATTTGTTCACTCACATGTGGCATGACCATGGTGATACCATTGCTGTTCAGTACGGCGGCTCACAGCTGGTCAATACCATGGAAACTTACCGCAAAATTAACCAATGGACAAGTCATTCAAGAGACATGATCGAAAGCTTCAAGCGATACTACAACAATTCCTTCCTGGACAGTCAACGTCAGGAGGCCTACAACTTATTCCTCGGTAATTACATATTCACGCAAGGGCAACCTATGCTGTGGGACTTGGCAACTGACTACTACCTCCATCACGCCGATCCACGAGATTGGTCTGCTAGGTTGAAGCACGACTACATCAATTGGTATGTTCCGGCTCACTTGCAGAAACGAACAGTTCCACCATACGTGCCCAGCAAAGACATTGCCCGCGCTCATCCGGTTGAATTCTTTGATGACTATTGGCTCGAGTATTACAGGCCATCGACCCTATCTTCTTTCCCCAAGATGTTTGCCTACAAGATGAACTCAACTATCAAATACATTCCCCTTAAATCTACCCAGGATGGCCGCTACGACCTCAGCCCTTTCCGGGTTCGAACTGACAATGAAGTTGATCATGGCGACAAAAGGAAATCGAAGAAAGATGCTCATCCACACGCAAATGTAACAAGTTCTCGTGGGCAGACTGTGGGAGCGAATGGGGCGCCAGATTCGATCTTGGACCGATCACCAGCGAAAGGGATCTCGCTCCAGCGTTGGCTGCAACCTGTTCAAGACAAAGGTGTACTCGCCAGCTCTCTGCGACTGAACACGAACCAACCAGTGCAGGCATCTGAACATAGCCCCAAGACGAAGCCAACAGCCCTGGAGAAATCCAAGGCTGCACAATGGACTTTCACCAAAGCTGTCCATGACTCACTGAATCCGTCTGTAGCCGAGCAGGAATCCGAAGATTACGAGCGATACATCCGTCATCCTCAAAACCTTCCTCTCGTCATCTCAAGCGACACGCCCGTGGACGTGGATGCGTCAGAGTATCAGGAGTATGTAAGCGGTGACTGGCAAGATGAAGGTTTAATGGTCAAAGGAACTGAAGAAGAGATCGATGTCTACGCTGAGTTGCTCAAGGTGGGGGGAAACCCTCTGACAGTGACGGAGGAAGATGGTCCGAAGAAACGATACAAAGCCTATAGGAAATGGCTGCGTGGGAAGTCTTTCTTCAAGCAGCAGCCCCTAGACTGAGACTTAGCAACAGCCCCTCAGCCTTCAGCGAGCATTTTCGGGAACAGAGTAGACAGCCGCGGTTCTTGCTTCAGGGCTTCACTCAGCTTCGCGGGACGTTCAGAGGCATCCTGGTCCCAGAGGGCCTGAAGAATTCGAGCTGCATGTGCCAACTCTTGTGACAATGTGTTGATATCAGCTGAGGTCCGAGATGCCTCATGCTCGATCTCCTCGGAGACGTTTAACCAGCATAATGACAGAATTCGGGCGACGTTCTCCATATGCTCAGTTCCTTGGATACGAGGCCATGTATTAGTAATGATGGCGCTCATGGTTTGCGTCGCCGCCATCAGGGTCGGAGGATATGAGACTGCAAAGGGGTCTGTCATGACTAATGATACCATTGAGAGAAGAGGCTAGCGCAGACGTGTTAAAGAAAGCCCGAGGCATTTTTCAGTAATAAGTGGTTACTCACAGTTAAGTGTTTGGTTGTATAGATACCCAGACTACTGATTACTGCTGTTGCCTTCTGTAACAGAACGCGGACAACGCGAGTGTGCTGAGAAGCATGGAAATAGCCTGCGAACACTCCGTCTCTGAGGATCTTGTCAAATAATCGGCGACGCTCGATACTGTTGGTATCCCCGGTGGCCTGGGCCAGCTTGATAAGCACGTCGTAAGCCGGCATGAGTATGGTCGTAGACTCATCCTCTGGTGTGACGCTGGGGAGATAGAGCAGGAGCGGGAATGTGACGTCCGCAAATACACGGCCTATGCCTGTGTTTTGCAGTACTTGAGCTGGGCATCTGTTCATGAATTCTCTCGTGGTCATTAAGCCTCTGGCCTTGGTCTTGGTAGACTCGCTCTCCACCAGCGCCAACAGGACTGGTAAGAAAAGCGGCCAGTGCTGCTTGATGAGTGACGTCTACCAGCGAGTGTCAGCGCAACTGATCGCATTTCCACCAGCGCAACCTTACCGTAGACATATTTACTGTCCATTGTATTGTGGCCTCTGCCCACGGGGCCTGAGTCCTCCATGATTGCACTTCAATCACAGGCCGGGACCGATCATCAACCATGTCATACTGGGAGGGCCGTCCTGAAGCAGTGATTCGCGAGGATGATTTCATAAATAATGGCTTCAAATGCTTCTCAAGGACCGCGTTGGTGATAAACTCGTTCAGACTTTCACCCTCAAGGTGTTCCAACAAAAGTTTTGAAGCTGCTGCTGCAGCTTGTGCAGTTGTCCATGGGTCCTGAGAATCAGTAACAGCTGTGAGCTTCACGAGAGTAACCTGGTCCAGGGTAATGCGATATTTCGAGCACAAGATACTGAGACTGGCAACAGCTGCTTCTGTGAGGAGTTCTGAGTGGTCTTTGTGGTGTTAGTCAAGCTACAGAAGTGATAGATTATGCACACTGATGCACCTTGAACGCTCCTCAATGTCAATGCTTTCTCACTGACGGCTGCCACAAGCCTCGATAATTGGCTTTGGCCCATGTTGTCCTCTGAATACAAGACATGGTTAATTACCCTGAGAACGGCTTGACGAAGGTCCTGGAATCAACGATTGTCAGCTCGGTGCTGTTTATTCTGAGCCAGATAACGTCACAGACGTATAGGGAAACGCACTGTATCATTGGATTCAACCAGGGAAGATATCCCACCGTCAGGTTCTGCACGAAGATGCTCCGACTTTCCTGGAAGAAAGAATGTATCCTGGTCAATTCGGTGCTGAGAAGCCTACGTTAGGCCAAACACATACCCGAGACATCATGCAACAATGCTGTATTTGAAGGGCCAAGGAGCCCTTCCAACGCACCAAGTACGGTATCAGAGCCAGTGGCTGGCATGTTATCGTTGGTTGAGTGTTGGTGAAGGAGAAAAATGAAGAGCGAACGTCGGATCTTGAGATAGGATGCCTCAGGTAGGATAGATACTATGGTAGGTACTTAGATACCTGGATATGTTCATTGGATCCACATAGCACACGGTGTCAAAATTCAGTTTGTCGCACTGTATGGAAACTAGCTCTCTGCCCATCATGGTCAGGTCAACCAACTTTGTCGTTCAGTCTCAGCGTACAGTTTGTCAAGTTCTTTATCATTTTACTTGATCGTATCAGGTGCAATGTAGGGAATTTTGCCCTAAATATACATTGCATCCATACAGGTCGTGTATCCATCATGACAGTCAAGTCATGGCAGCTTAGCCTAGGCCAATACCTACTTGACACTTAGAATAGGCTGCACGGGGCATATGCTATGGAGAGCTGCCGACTTGGAATGAATACCAACTTGGCTCCTTACTCACGGTATCCCCAACTCTTCTCTCCGCCGCTGTACTTCTTCTATTGCGCCGGTTGGGTCTGATTCGCCAGGGTTGCGAAGTTGCCATGCAACACATACATCTAGAGCCGGACCTGTCCATTTCCCCGGCTTGATACCACCAAGTGCTTTGGCGAGCTTTCCGCCATCAAGGAGCTTTTCGAGGGTCGTAACTTCATAGACGTCTAACTTGGCGAGGTGGTCGAGGAAACTCTTCCAGCCTGCTAAGAAGTTACTTTGTTCTGGAAACAAGTCACTGGGATGTTCATGGGGGAAGGGGAAATGGCATCACCCTTACCTGCTGACTCTTCTTGGCGCCAGGCCGTGAGGGTTTCTAGGGCCTCGACGAGTAGTGCATTCAAAACCTGCAGTCTCCAGGTACCAGCGGGAGTGTCCCACTTCCTGATTGCCATGCCGAAGCGATCTCGTTCTTGGATGTACGACTCTCCATTGCAGACGGCACGTTTCAACTTCAAAATTTCGTCGCGATTGCGATGCGAAGCAGCAACAATACTCGAAAGTCGATTTGGGGCTTTGAAGCCTTCGCGTGAGACAATGGCCACGAGAGGGAGAGCGTTTGCTTTCCTACGAGGATGCGGAGGCTCTTCGACCGTCATCCATGGAGAGAGCGCGGCAAGGTTCCAAGCGGAGTATGTGGCATCCGTGGATGTGATAAGTCGACCAGCGATGAAAGTCGAGTCTCGATCCTTGAGAAGCTCATCAAGACAAGTATAAGCAACAGCCCAGCGCGATATGTCGGGGACTGGGAGATTTTCCTGGGTTGGGTCGGTAAAGATTGCATGGAAGAGTTGTAGCTCATGGATGAGTTGAAGTGCTTCAAAAGGGTGATCTCCTACCTAGAAGTTAGCACATGCCGTTCAGTTTCAGATCAGATCAAGATGCTGCAACAACCTTTGAGCATTTTCTCCAACTCTACGCCAACTCGCTCTCGACTGATCTTGGCACGCAATGCCTCAAGGACCTCTGGGTCGGCCATGTATCTGCGCGTGCTGGCGTCAATTGTGAATTGGAGCCGGCTGGCGAAACGAACAAGTCTCAAAACCCTCAAAGGGTCGTCCATGAAGGTCTGGAAGGGCTCCAAAGGGGTTCTGATTATTTTAGCTTCCATATCTGCAAGTCCCCCCGTAAAATCTTCAACACGATCGTCGTGTAGGTTGTAGAAGAGTGCGTTCACGGTGGCATCGCGGCGGCGAGCGTCCTCTTCAGCCGTGCCGAATTCCATTTGAGGGTTTCGGCTGTCCTCGGTATAGGTTTCCTTTCTGAGGTTGACGAAATCGAGATCCAGACCAAACATCTTGACCATGGCCGTTTCCAGATGCTTGGACTTCTCAGGGTTGCGCGCAACGTTGTGGAGGCTTCCAATATCTGCGGGGCCAATGCTGTGCTTGGACATGGCCTCTGGTCGTTCGCAATAATCGCACATAGCTTGAGCAAAAGTGACCCCAGTCATGGCGTTGATGGCCACGTCTATGTCATGACTCTGGATATCGAGCAGCTTATCGCGTACCCAGCCACCGGCCCAACGGAGCACAATAGGCTCTGGAGTTTTTCCGGACTCGTCTATTTCTTTGGCAACATCAAGAAGCAGACGACGGAGCTGCTGCTCCTTACTGGTGAGTTGAAAGGTGGTGGTCACCATGCTGGACTTGGACTTGGACTTGGACTTGGGAACCTTGGCAGGCGGTCCAGGAACTTTGACGTTGACTTTGGGAGATGGCGTTGAGTTGGAAGTCAACGAATGGTGATCCTTGAGAAATGAGTCGAGATTTCTCTTCATCGCAAGACGCAAAGAGCGTTTGAGCATTTGACGTTGGGTGGGTGGGGCCGCTGCACAAATAAATTACGATTGTATGTGTGAGAGCGAAAGGATAAGATACTTAGGTAGTAGTACCTTACCTAGTAGGTAAAAAGGAAATGATGCTGCCTCATAAACACGTGCTCTAAATACCTGAGACTGAGGGAGTAGGTACCAGGTATGTTCGAGTTGGGGCGTCTTGGTTAAAGGTACCTACCTACCTCCTAGGTTGGCCTTTAGAATGAAACCTCGAGGTGCTCATTCTCAGTCAGACTCAGAATAAGTGCATGCATGCATGAATGAATGACTAATGCCCGCGGTGCTGGTCCACAAAAAGGTTGCCAACCTACCTACCAAAACAATGGATAGTTATAGCGAAATATACCAACTCCCCGCCGTAAACACGCTGCAACATAGTCTCCTTTCGAGCCATACGTAGCAGTCAATCAATCTATGTTGGGCCTTTAGGACATACTTGCAAAATGAAAACGAGAATTTGCATCACAACTGTTTGATGCTTCTAGTTCAAGCGTTTATCCTCCGGTCTATCTCAAGCAAACATCTGTCAATCTAGCTCTTAGAGCTAATAATAGAGGCGTTCTATTTGTCATTTTGTACAAAGTCCGCTGTCAAGTAGACATCTAAAGTGCACAGTAGATCCCATCCAAACGCCGATGCGCAGATATTTTGGCCGCATAATCTTCATGACTCTGACTTTGCCCAGTCATGTCCGAGTGAGCGAAGCAAGATTTATGTCTCAGCAACTTTTTCTGTCGTGACGGGGTCGCCAGTAATCTGATCCTCTTCAGTCTCAGTCTTCTTCTCCATCTCCTTTTCCTTCTCCGAAAGCTGTTCCGCCACCTCAGTGGTCTCATTGTCTGTCTTGTTCTCGTTCGGGGGCTCATCAAGAGCGAGTTCGCCACGAAGTTCAGGTAGGAATCGATCTATGCGCTTCCAAGTCTCTGACCAGAGTTCCTCCTTCGACGGATCTATGTGGGGTGACACAAGATACTTACTACTGGCCATAAATAGCAGCACATTCTTGAGGTTCTCGCGAACAGCCTCCTCCTACTGTTTGTCAGTGCCTGTATCATTGCACAACTGGATAGGTTAACTCACAAGACTGTCACCCTGGCCGCTGTTCATAAGACGATCCATAATCTCGATGATCTTAATCCAGAGATCCAGCATTCCGTCCCATTCTGAGAGGAGTACCATATATTGAAGAAAGACTTTGCAAAGAAGGGAGGCAGACTGGACTCTCATCTCGCTCATTCCATCTCGATCGGACAGGAAGACCTCAGGCTTGAGCAGCTGGATGATTAATGGAAACAGAACCTTGCCAAAAATAGCAGTCCACTCTTTAGGGTCACTGCAGGTCAACTCTGGGGACAGAAGAGATCGTTGAAGAGCGGAGAAGGCAAGTTGTCGGACATCTCTGCATGGATTTGCACACTGAGTGGTTAAAGCCTGGAAAATTGGCAGCCAATAAGCAGACCAGGCTGCGGATTTGTTAACATGGCAATTGGAATAATAGCGTTTGGAGGATGACACACCTTCACTGCTCTCAAGCTGAGACTGTTGCATGAGATGTGGGATTCGATCCGTCATATTATAAAGCATGTTGACAGCCTTGGAGCCTCGGCTAACTGCTTCCGCATTGCTGGAATCATATCAGTGTTATGTTCACAACTTTGAGGTCCGTCAAGTTTTACCGTTTTTTATCTTGCTTGGAGGGGGCTGGCCTTTGGGGTCTAGGGCTTCGGGTCTGCATGCTAGGTTGCCGAGGGGTGGCAGCGGAGGCAAAGTCGTTCAGAAGGGATATTGCTGCCTCGTAATTATCTGCCATAATAGCCGAAGGGGTTCCAGCAGTTCCCTTCTCCAAAATTTCGAAAACGAGTGCCGCTGATTCTGGGCGTTGAGCCAAGGCTCGCAGTATTGCCCAAAAGTCAGGGGACGTCATCATTTCTCGTTTCAACGGGCCAGACTCCTCGATGCAAAGCGAAAGGCCTTGCAACACAAGATCCGAGTTCTTCCCCAAGGCCTCTTGTGGCAAAGTCGAGATCGTATGAAGTAGAAATGGAACGTTGACGAAGTCATGATCCTTATATGATTAGCTTCAAGTTTAAAAGCATCTGCTACAACACTTACATAGCTGATATTGAGCAGCTTGAGGGCATAGAAAGACGCCCGGGAAACTGTAATGGCATGGTATCGGGCTGGATCGCGAAGAACGCCTTGTAGCGTGTCGAAGACAACTTTACCCATGCTCTCAATGGATTCTGCATCCCGTGACGCCAAGAGTGTGCAAAACTCCAGGATATACGCAACACTTGGGTCGTACTCCAAATGCCCTGGCGGTCGAACGTGACCGTTCGTGGGAGACGTAGGCAAACTCTCATGCTTGACACTAATTACGGTTGTGTTAGAATCCTCGGGAAGTTGATCAACAAGTGTTTCGACGATGACTTTAGCGACGGATGGGCTCAGGTTACTTTCAGAAAATTAGTTTCATCCTGACTATACAAACGTAAAACCTACGCAATATTTTCGAACACCGCAGTCATATTGCATGACTTGATACAATCGATAGTACAAAGTGTGCTTTCTAGCTCCTCATCGGATGGCTCAGGGGGGTCGTCGGCAGCGTAACTGGAAATGTATGAGGTGAAGGCCGAAAAGAAACCAGTGTCCGCATTCCTCGCTACTCGATCGATAACTTGTGATGGCGTTTGCAGTGGAATGGGGGGCAACGGTAAGCCTGGCAAGTTGCTTGGAGCGAAGGGCGAAATGAGCGAGTTGGTGAATAGATTGAGCCATATGCGAATCATCTGTCAATGTGAGCATCCATTCGAATGAAAAGCCTTGGTGACTTACATATTTCCAACTCCTGTGTATAAGATTTTCACTTCCAGTAACGACACGAAACAATACAAGAGTCGCAAGTTGGGCCCTGAAATCCCTACCGAGCTTAACCGCGAGTTCGCTTACCATGACGCTACCATCCCCTGCCTGAACTTCGGTGTTCAAGGAAGTGTTGAACTGTGTTTCGGTTGCCAATGTCGACATGTGGCTCAGACAATAAACAATCTGATCAAGAGCTTCCGAGTTCTGATATTTGGTGGCAATGCGAGCGCATTCATCGAAGCCAGTGACGATTCGAGCGAACACGGCATCGTCTGTGGCGGACATGAATACATAGGACAGCGTAGAAACAATAGGTTTCCAGGTCGTTGCAAACATATCAGCATCATAAATGTTTGTGTCGCATATCACAAGGTTACCTGTTGACTCTGTCTTCAGAAGGAGTTCTCTCCATGCATAGTCAAAGGCATGCTTGTTATCATGTTCATCGGGCAGGATAATTTCGTTGGACTTGATGGACTGGTAGATAGTCTGCAGATACTCGGGAGCAAAGTTTTGGCCGTTGTTAGTTCCCCTAAGGTTTCTTGCGAAATCCTCCAACGTCATGCGTTTCTTGGCGTCCAGGTTGGGGTTATGTTGATCGGTATTCAACAGGATGATAGCATACGTCAAGATGTAGACTGCATCTTTGTCTGCGACTTCGCCAGTAGTGTCGTGGGAGCAAAACTTCTCGGAAAAAGCTTCCACGATCGTAGCAATTAAGGGCGCCTCTCCGGGGAGTCGGAATGACTCCAAGAATTGTCTAAGTGCCTCGTCAACTCGCTTACCAGAAAAGTCAAAAAGATCCAGGAAAGCTCCGAGAATTTCTTCATTTCCTCTCTTAGATATGAAGTCGCCAAGGACCTTCTTATTGACCCGTGAAGTGCCTTTGAGAAACTTGGCAACAGCAACAGGATCTGTGGCGTCCTTAATGATGCCCTGGGCTTCCAGATAGCCCAGACCTGCCTTTGGCTTCTCGTTGAACTTGCTTGCTCCCTTGATAATAATTTTCTTCTTTCGCCGTTGCTCCCTTAATGTCGCAGGGTCAGGAAAGTCTCCACAGGTGGCATCTTGGTCAAGTCTTTCGGCAATAAACTGGATATATCGGAGCAGAGCGTCAAGACAGAGCGGAGGGACGCTTGTGGTGCTCCAGGTTGCAGAATCAGGGAGAGCATTTCTGGAAAGAAGCCCAATCATGTCTTCACAGAGATCCGCCCTGTCAACATCGCAATCGTAATTAATGAAGAGCTCCGCCATGAATGTCGGCATGCGCGACAAGACCCCAACACTTTCTACCATAGCCTGGCGCGCATCTGGCTTCCGCGATCCACCCTCCAAACCAAGTTTTTGACGGTCTTTGACAGGGACTGGAGTCGATCGGCCACTGCTGGGCTGTGATGATTGTGAAGGTTTGACCAGTTTGGGCGTCTGTGGGATGCCAGCATAGAGAGAAGGGTCGATACCGGGCTCGCGAGGTATCTCAACCTTTGGGTGTAAACAAGCTACCAGGTAAGATAGGAACAGCTCCTGTTGCAGCTTGAGTACTCCACGACAAGTGGCTAACAGCGTACCGGCAACAACTAGCGACTCCTCGAGAATGGCCATGTTGTCAGACCTTACTAGCTGAAACAGATAACAGCATAATCGGTCCTCAGCGATACCTGCCAAAGCAGGGTGTCGAGAAATAAAGGGCCCAGCAACCTCAAGGGCGACGTGAATAATTCGTAGTGCCATGACCCGCATTGTATCTGTGTGCTGTCGATCTTGAGGGTCCAGGAAGTTCACCAATACCCGGAATAACTCACGAACGGACGGGAGGGAGTACGGCCTAAGATCCACAGACTCCGTCTCCTCTGTCGCATCGCTTGTAGTTGCCAGTGCCGTTTCAGAAGTGGCCGTGGTGTCCCTACTGCTGCGTTCGGGGTCCGGGGTAGTCATTCCAGGTACCTCCAGGCTCTCAGGTTCGGCAGACAGTCCTCCTGCTTCGGGAGCGGGGTTTTCCATTCTGACGCTACCGCGGTCGTCAACAGCTTGCTGATCCAAGGCGTTTGTGTCATCGCCAGCTTCAACCTCGAGGT